TTACTTCCATTTGCAAAAGCAACTTATTTTTAGAAAAACAGAAAGGAAAATCTGAAAATCTTTCAAAGTTTATTTGGTATCCACTTTTTGCAATTCAAAAGAAAATGGATAAATGCAAGTTTAGGTTACTTAGGATACTTTTTTGTAGAAATATAAGAATGAATACATAATGATCCTTTAAGGTATCATCATTTATTTTAAGCATCAAAAAGTGAATGTATTTAACCATACTCAGCAGATAATACAGCAAATGTGTGAATAATTCATGCTACAGCATGATGAAAGAACTGAAAACAAATAGTTGGGTGGAAGAAGACAAAGGAATTTTGTCTTTTTTTTTTTTTTCTTTTCAAAGTTTTATTGATAAACATATAGCAGTGAGACAGTTTCAAATCAAATCGAAAGTACAGTTTCAACAAATAGAAAATTGTATCGTTTAATCTACATTTTTGAATTTGTAAATGCGGAGTTTTCTTTTTTCTTTTAAGCAGAACTCGGGATTGAACTCGGGCCCTTGCGCTTGCCAGGGAAGCACTTATTCCACTGAGCCATCTTCCCAGCCCCTGGAATTTTGTCTTGTAACAATCAGAACTGAGGGGCTCCATAATCGTCTGGCATCCACTCAGTGTTGTATCTGTGATTAGAAATGCACCTGGTAGGAATTCCAAGGATCTTCCAGATTCTCCATTTAGGTCAACTGTGGCCACAATGTAACACTTGTGCTGAGTTACGCTCTGCACTAAGCAGTCACCTTGTAACTATTATGTGTGCAAGGTAAGCAACCAGGTAATCAGTCACTCATAGTATGACTCCTTCCCAATCCTTAAGGCCTCTCAATACTTCCGTCCCAATTTCTCAGTTTCTGCCATTATACAATCAGGGGATACAATTGTCATATAGACAGTCCATCATTGATTGTACCAAGTCCAATGGAGCTTTCATGGAAAAGGTGATAAAGTTGGTATCAACCAGGATATGATGGGTGGCCCCAGCTGTGTAGTATACTGGAAGAATAAGCAGGAAGGATGTTGGGGGAGTTCTCTTTCCTTGAGAGCACTGGGATTTTTCTTTTCTTTTTTGGTTTTATTTATTTTCTTTTAAAATTAAATTTATTACTTTTCATTTTATTTTGTTGGTACGTTGTAGAGAGCCATACTGATAACATTCATCATAGAGAATTTGTACCCATAGACGGTACATCTTGCTTCTTTTTTTCTGCATTCCCCTCCCCCTCCCTTCAGCTTCTCCGCTGGGTTTTATGTACAAATCTTTGTTTACAATCTGTGTTGGTTTTCATCTATCCTTTACTTTGAATCTCATCTCAGAGACTAAGCATTCACTTCATGGTCATCTACTTTCTTTTGTTTCCTGATGTCTGTGCAGCTTTCCTGTATCTTCTGGAGTCCTGATCATTTAAGTTGAAACGAACAACTTAACATTAAGGCAAAGAGATAGCTGAAGTTTTACTCATGGATATGCTCTGAATTTTTAGAATTCACAGATATTCACTAAGTAATGATTGTTTTTAACTGATTAGTAATCAGTTAAAATAGCACATCAGTTTTTTACTTTGTATATCAGTAGGGAAGTGAAATAAAAAAATAAGTATTGATCAGATTAAGTAAAATAGGCAAGATTATTATGTAATACTCTGTTCATTGTAACACTATGAATTGTTGCTATTAAATATGAATATTCAACCATTATGCATTTTCTTCTACTAGTGATCATTCAGAAAACACTTTTAGGTCAATTTTAAGTTTATATGTGAATATCTTTTTAAATTATATTTTTGAGAGCATCACATCAAACTCCCTACATAAATTAACACAATAAAAATTAATGGTAGAGCCTTTGGAAAATTAGAATACCTCTTTTGATTATTATTAGATAGTGACAAATTTACCAGCCTACTTGTGAAACTTCCTGATTCATCATCTTAATATAATGGTTCTGGAGGTGGGAAGCAGACTTAGGTGAAACTGACATTTATGCAGAAAAAAGATGATTGTAGGTTGCTTGGATTATCATGTTTTGGTGAAAGGATATCAAAAATAATAATAAAAAACTGCTTTGCTAACATGAAGGTAAAATAATTATGATGACTGACATGGAATATAACTGGAAATGGTAAATTTGCAACTTTTTTTTCAGTATGTGTTCTAAAATTATGTCTTTCTAAGTTTTTTCCTGATTATAAAATCAAATCATGCTTAATGGATAGATTTTGAAAATACTTTAAGCCTACCAAACAGGAAAAAAATTATACTTAATCACATCACTTAGAGATAATAACTGTAAAGCAAAGGGTAGGTTCTGAAGTCACCTGGATCTTGGATTTAGTCGGATCTTTACTCATACCTTATAAGGCCGCATTGAAAGAAGTCTATAGGAGAATTGGCTGATGGCAAATATTCAGTCTATTACTTATTGTTGTTATTTGTTTCTTTTTTACTTGATATCACATCATGAACATTTTCTTATATAATTTTCAGTTGATGAGGTGCTTTATTCCAAGTGCCACATTTCTAGTTATTCCCTTAGGATAAATGTCCAGTTATTTTGGATCAAGTGATGGTAGCATATTTAGCTTATAGGAATACTCTAGAAGGAAATGATAAATTCTGGAGTTTTGATCTTTCAATGTCACCTGGTTGGGGAATAACATATATCTACCTGGTGTGATTATTAGGCATAGTAGGAGCTCAGAGAATGGATAGGCGACATGCAAGGTGGTTATCACTGGGAGTCTGAAACTGTCAGCCCATAATTGATCATTTTCCTGCAATTTTGTCACTGTTTTAACCTCTCTGAGTCTGCCTTCTATAAGGAGATAAAAATAGTACCTGTTTCATGTGGTTGTTGTGGTGATCAGTTTAATGTCTAATCCTGGCACCTGGTAACCACTTACTGAATATCAACTCCTGTTGCTATGTTCAGCACTTGAAGTTTGTTTTTATGACTAAATGTGAGAGAATATCAGTGGAATTTTTTTTTTTGCAAGTAATATGTTTATGCACTAGCATACAAAATAGGGTAATACAAAATTTTTAGTTTAAAATGCATTGAAGTCCTCTACTTTAAGTATAATATGCAGTTTTTCTGTTTTAAAAAAGTGATGAAAGAGCAATTTGATTTAATAAACCTTACAAAGAATTTTAAAATAATTTAGAGATGGAATGTGTTTTTTAACAGATTATTCTTTTAAAAGAAAAAATGCTATATTTTCATTTTTTAGAATATTCAGGCATGATATGTGCAAATCATACTGCTAGTGTAAGAATCCTTGTGATGTGCTCCGCTCACCTGTAATTATTTTACTTGTGTTAACTCATGTAGCTTTTCATTGAGAGTTTCTTGTCCCACTTTTGCAGATGAAAGCTAAGTAGCTTGCCAGTACTAGTTATATGACTAGAAAATTCTGCTATGTTTTGGTTATCTTTGAGACCATTTCATCATCTTGCTTAATAGCCAGAAAATAGTAATGGATTAAATGCAATCATATTGACAAATATAAAAACACAGCGAGTGTGAATTGATCCAGAAATTTGATGAATATTAAATTTAATAATAGATTGAAAGAGTTAATCCCTCCTGTAGAAATCTGTGTATGTACATTTCAATTCTTTTTTTTTTTTTTTTTTTTAATTTCCTCTTAGTTTTTCAGTCATGGAACAAAACCGTTATATCAAAGCATGGACGCTCCACAGTCAAAATTCTTTCGTCCCCTTAAAAAAGCTATGCTACCACCTGATACTTTTAAAGGAAAAGTGGCATTTATTACCGGAGGGGGTACTGGCCTTGGCAAAACAATGACAACTTATCTGTCCACCTTGGGTGCGGAATGTGTGATAGCCAGCCGGTAAGTTGGACTCAAGAGTCACGTAAAAGGAGACACCATCTCTACAACAAAATTGAAAGCACTGTTGGCCAGCATTGTTTAATTTGCATCTTAATCTTGAGGGAGACAGTCTAGCAATTATTTAAATAACTGCCCTTGGAAAATGTCAGTTATAATTCAAGATGATAGAAATAATAATTTTTACACTGATGACATATATGCTTTCTAAATCCAGTGAGAGGTTTTCTTTTTGGTAGTATTGGGTTGAACCTAGAAACTTCACAGTGAGTGACATCCTCTGATCTTTTTTATATTTTTATTTGTTATTTCTAGATAAGTCACTACATTGTTAAGTTACCTAGATGGGGGTTTGAATTTGAGTTCCTCCTGCATCAGCCTCAGAGGGTGGTGGGATTATAGGCATGCACCACCAGACTCAGCTAATAGTTTATTTTCTGTATAGAAAGATGAAATGAAAAAGTTAAAAAAAAGATAGGGTTAAACAGATAGGGTTAAAAAGGGGAATTAGTTACTATTACCCAGTTCAATTGATAACTGGCCTTGTAGCAACATCATGGATGCTTCAATTTTCTTTAAAATTAATGCTTCAAAACATTTGTTGTGATGAACATAGGAAGGGTAAAGCCATTTAAAAGGAGTATCTTCTCTTTTGGGGTATATTCTGGCCCTCCATGAGTCTGGAACTGTAAAGAACAGTCAAAAAATCCACCCTTCCAACTTTTTAAAAAATGTATTTGGTATAGGGTCTCATTATGCAGCTCAGACTTGCAGTGATCCTAGTTTCAGCCTCTCCCGCCACAGGGATTACAGGTGTGTGTCACCACATCTGGTCTCAGTGGCCAGCTCAGGGTACCCAGGGGCAGAGTCAGCAGCATGCGGTGCTGAGAATCGAACCTGGCTGGGCTGATCCCTTTCTTCCAACTTTGAATGGTGTATAGCTATTGTCATCTCAGTGATGATTGGTATTTCACTTACAAATGCAAATTGGCCAACATTCTCTGGTTTTGATGTAATGTATTTAATAGTGTCAAAATAGTTTATTTCAATACTAATTTATCTTCGTGTGTGTGTGTGTGTGTGTGTGTGTGTGTGTGTGTGGTGTGCATTTCTTTAAGGTTGTAAGATTGAATATATGCAGTTTATTGCAACCTATAAATTTATTCTGCAACCCATTAACATAGCATGAAAGTATCTTCTTTGTGAAGCTGGCTTGCGTGAAAGTGTAAAGACAACAATTATGATTAAGAAAATTGAAATCTATGAGTAGATAATGCCAAAGTGGTTGGTAAAAAGTAACTGACTCAATGAGTTAGTATCAGATAGGAAAAAATTGTTTGACTTTAACTTTTAGAAAATGAATTCATTCGAATTTGTGTTTAGATATGACTTCCATACTTCAGCAGTAATGTTTCTCTTTCAGATTTAGATTCTCTGTGTTTTTTAATGTATGAAATTAGAAAGAAAAACATGTGAAGTCATTTCAGAATTCATGCAAAATATGTACCATTTGTTTATTTCTAGGAAAATTGATGTTTTGAAAGCTACTGCAGAAGAGATTTCTTCTCAGACTGGAAATAAGGTACATTAAGCAGCAGTCACTTAAATTAGGTGTAGGAATTGTAGTATGTGTTGATAATTTACTCCCTCTGTTGTTTTAGAAAGTTTAGAAAATGTAGGGTTCCTTATCCTGTTCTTTTGCAGGTTCACGCAATTCAGTGTGATGTGAGGAATCCTGATATGGTTCACAACACTGTGATGGAAGTGATCAAAGTCGCAGGACACCCTGATGTAAGTGTAATGGTGGTAAAACCAAAGCACAAGGCCTTTGATGTAGATAACATGCAGCAGGATGCACAAAGGAAATAAACTACTGATGTGTGAAACCGCTGTATTGAGAAGGACTTACTTTGTTTCCCTAGGAAAATCTCAGCATAGCTTAATGCAGGGAAAAAATTAGAAGGACTACTGCATTACTTCCTTCCAAGGATACTTTAGTGATGCAGTTATAATCATAGAGCAAACCTGATTTCACCTTATTTAAATAAGATTTTGAAATAATGAGAGCTACCCAAGTGTACAATAGCTAGTTTAGATGATTCATAGTATTTGCTTTTCCTAATAACTTTTGATTATCAGTCATTCTCAGTGGAAGAAAGCCATAGAAACTAAGAAAACTATAAGGATTTCCAAATTTCCCCTTGTAACACCTGAAGTGTAAATAGGTATTTTGCTATTACTTGATTCATTTATCAGAGAACAGCAATTTGTTCTCAGTAGTCTGGCTTTTCTTTGTGTATTTTCAGATAAACCAGAAATACTGAATCTGGTATAGAATATCTATTAAGCAGTGTTTCTATTGATAATGAAAAAGTAGGTCACAAGCCAAGAATTTCATTAAGTTAAATGACACTAGAAATTAAAAGGCATTTCTTGAGGTTCTTTGAGATAAAGTGTCATTGTGTGATAAATATGCCTAATCTGTATTTGTTTTCTTAATAATGGAGTGTAATTTAAAGGGAAGTTTAAGACTCTGAAATTGGGAAATAATATGATGCTTACAGGCTCCAAAAAACAAAACACCCCAAATCTCATTATATTATTTTTTAGCTATGACCTTTAGCTACATTATAGCATGTGGATTGATACATTTTGGAAATAAAAACCCTTAAGGAAAAATGTTCCTACTCAACCAGTTGTTCCTGTATCTTGCCTTATTCATTTATTAGATTGTGATAAATAACGCAGCAGGGAATTTTATTTCGCCCACTGAAAGACTCTCTGCTAATGCTTGGAAGACGATATCTGATATAGTTCTAAATGGTACAGCTTATGTGACGCTAGAAATTGGAAAGCAACTCATTAAAGCACAGAAAGGTATGTTTGTTTATTCATCCTGTATTGGGCCATGTTAATTTATTCTTCTCAATTTTAATGTGGAGCACCTACTGCGCTCATGTTCTGTTCTAGGTGTTGGAATACTTTTAAAAATAAACAAGACAAGCATACTTATTCAACTTACATTGTAATGGAAAAGATACTTAAACTCTATATTATAGTATAAGATGTAGTAAATAAGTGTTTCAAATTTGTTGGAAATCCAGAGACAAGACTGGCTAACTCTTCCCTAGAGCCAGTGATTGAAGAATGAACTAGAATTTAAGCAGAATTTTCAAAACTCTGGGTGCAAAAGAGAGAAAATAAAGCTCCCTGAATAGAGGCTCAATGGAGGGAAACAGCAGAAGTGTTTAGGGAACAATAAGGGATTAGATGTAGGAGAAAAGGGGCGAGAGAAGCATAGGAAATGATTATGGGAAGGTGGGGTGAGGTGAAACTGGGGAAGTTCTGATACCAAAATAAGGAGAGTATCATTTGGAGTTATCTAGAGGAGCAGAATCAATAGGCAAACAGAATGAAGTTTTATGAAGAGGATTTGTTGGACAGACTCACAGGATCCCAGGTAAGATAGTCCATGGTGGCCTTCTGCACACTGGCAAGCCAAAGGGTCCAGTAGCTGCTCAGTCCCTCAGCACAGGAAGGGTGAGGTGCTATGCCTGTGTGAGATTGAGGACCTAGAGTCTGCAGGGTTCCTTGTAGGAGTCTTAATGCAAGGGGAAGAAACTGGAGTTTGATGCTCACAGATGATGGCAGCAGCACAAGTGGAATGGGCTTTGCCAAATTCAGGCAGCAGACTTCCTCCTTCATCCCATTGCATTCTGTCTGGGCCACAAACCTGTCGGATGGTGGCGCCCACAGTGAATTTGGGTCTTCTCCCCTCAGTTACCTGGCTCACATGTTGGTTTTCTCTGGGAACACTTTACACTCTCTAAAAGTCATGGGAGCTTGATGTTAATTCCTTCCACGGAAGGTGTGGTGTGAAGAATGCACCTCTGTTGGAAAGACTGCTGGAAGCCATGTTGGGGATGGAAAAATTTGAAGAAATCCATTCAGGAGAGTTTGTTTTGGGGAAGATGTGGATACATGGCATGGGAGATGAAGAACAAGAAATTTACATGATAAGAGCAGCAGGCCTTATTGACTAGATAGAGAATTTGCAGCTGGGGTGAATAGTTTGGATGAAGGTGACATCAATGAGATTGAAAGGAAAGTCTATTAGGATGGAAAATTTTTGAACATTTTTGTTAGTACTTTAAATTGATTTCTTTATTAAAGTTTATAAAAATAATGAATATTGTAATGTATATATGTATTAGAATCAACATACTTCTAAGCACTTGCTGACTCTTACATGCCAGCAGAAGTGCTGCATCCCTGAAGCAGAGATAGGAAAGACTTTGTTCTTGAGTAAGTTGGGACTGGGACTTAATGGTTGGGGCTTTTCGTCAGAAACAGGGATGAAAAGGAAAATCCTCATGCACTTCACAGGATGGCTTTTGAAGCTTGAGGGAGTAAAGCATGACATGGAGGGGTTTGGGAATCCTTTTTGTGAGGTTCAATGTCTTCTATGCAACACAGAGAATCTTCAGCCTAGATTAAGAAAGAATGGCCACAGATGGGAAGATGTTAGAGTGGCATTACTTTTTTAAACAAGTCCTTTCTCTATAGTTTTTTTGAAATAGAAATCACTCATCACACATTTTCATTGTAGTGAAATATATATGATTTAGTTTTCAAGATGAGTGGTACATTTTTTATTTTATTTCTTTTTTTTTTTTTTTTTTTGCTTCTAGCAAGGATAGATAAGACTAGCTATGATGCATTCATTTCTTCTTAGAGAATATACAGAATGGGAATAGCTGGGCTAATGGAACCTCTAATCCTGGCAGCACAATTTGTCATAGCTAAATCTTGGAAGCAACCCAAATGCCCATCAACCAAGGAATAGATAAGGTGTATTTTTATACAAAGAAGTACTACTCAACTATAAAGGAAGATAGACTTGAGGCTTTTATAGGTAAATGGATGCAACTAGAGACTGTATCATAAGTGAAATAGACCAGATTTGCATGTGTAAACATCATACAGCCTCCCAAGTATAAAAAACTGGAAGAGTAAATAAAATCAAAAGGTACAATAGATATTATGAAAGTGAAAGAAACTACTTGAAAGGAAAGAACA